ACTGTGGCATACGCATTCATATTGTTATGATTGATTGATCAATCAAAATGTGTGTGTGTGTATGCCATTCACTAAAGGATGCAGCTCCAAACATGTCATCCTGACGAGCTTGTCTGCCTGACTGACCTGCCTTGCCTGTCCTGCCCAGCCTTGTCTTACCTGCCTTTTACCTGTGCCTGTGCTGACGAGCAAATTGCTGGCTTTGTTGATGAGGTGGGCATTGTCTGAGCGAACCGTTTGCCTGCCGACCGATGACAACTGCAGCATGTGCTAATCAACAGAGCAACAATGTGAGCAGAGCGCAGTTAGAGTTGGCACTGCACGACTTGAAAATACCCTCGGTATCTGAATGGGAAGCTGCTAGAGAGTATGTAGAGTGGAAATGTACAGAAGATAGGCACACAGACCCATAAGTATACATGTACTTATGCTTACTTATGCATGTAGTTATACTTCTTACACTAAAATATCAACTACTTATTGATACTACGGAAAAAAATATTTGATTAAAACAACTCTGCAATAAAACAATATATATTTATCGATTTCGAGGTCTTTAACTTTTGTAGTTTACAAGAACCAAGCGTTCAAAGAGAGAAGAGAGAGAGACAGCTGTAGTATATGAAATCGGCTCGTCATGCAAGCTAAGAACATTTATTTAACCTTGAGGTTTACACAAACAGCTCTTTGCTGACCTTTACATACATTTGCATGAGCACATCATGCCCTCTCTACCCAATTACAGGGCATATATAAAAGAAACAAGCAAAATAACAAAAAACGAAATTAAATCCAACTCCCCTAACGCAGCAGACAGCCAATTAAAAGTGCCAGCCAAGCTAAGAGTTGAGCTGAAATCGAGTCCGAGCAGCGAACATCGAGTGCGAGTCCGAGTCCGAGTTCAGCTAGTCCGCAAGTTCTTTTAATAATAGCTTTAAATGGTTTTTGCGCAATCAGATTACTTGCAGTTTTGTCCGCTTGAATTCCAGCTAACTGAATGGCTCCAGGCGCAAGAAGAAAAATGGAAATGGAAATGGAATGAAAACACGCACTTCAACTCGTTTCAGCTAGCGCTATCTACCCTCTCCCTCTCTCGCATCTCTAACTTTGACCACCTTCGTTTGCATTCTAAGCCAAAGTGAAATTCAATAGAACTGGCAAATGGCATTGGCCATGCGCCGTTGTTGAGGCCCATCTAGAATCGCATCTTTGCAGCCTGTCTTGCCAATTGCTGTGCATGTTGTGCTCCTCTTCTGCATCTTCTTCTTCTTCATCTTCTCTTTTTGCTATACCACTTAACTGTGCCCGCATTCATGGGGTATATGCCCATAGTCAGGCTGGCTAATTAAAATTAATTTACCGTTTATAATGGGGCATATTATCATGGTCGTATAGGCGTATCGCGTCGCATTTTATGAGCTGTGGGCACAGGTTTTACTGCCAATTACTGCTGTTATCGATAACGATATCGATACTTTTAGCATGAATTCATAGATGCTCTTGCTACATATTCGTTGAGCTTCTTACTTAAATTCGAATCGTCTCTAAGCTTTACTTGACTGAAACAATACTCTCTCTTTTATTTGAGTATTGTTTTCTTGACGTTATGCACTGTTAGTTGTCATATTTTTCTTAGATTCTGCTTTAAGCTATAAACTGTAAACCTTTTCAAGCTAAATAAGTCATAGATAATGCATTCATCTTGTTTATTTACATTTGCTATAACGTTTTACAACACTATAATCTAGCTGTTGTTTGCTCTGATTCGCCATTAATAGGCTATCTTTAAGCATATTCCATTTGACTTTCATGCTGCTTCATTTGTTGCTTCGCTATGCTTCTGGCAATGGCAGCTGGAGCAATCTGTCCTCCCCAGAGCTACCCAGGTGCACAGAGGCTGGAGTTGAGGCTGTGGATGCGGCTGTGGCTGATGCTATATCTGTAGCTGAAGTTGTTTTTTATGCAAATGGTTTGTGGCTTCGGCTCTGTGGTTTGGGCATTCCAGGCTATTTGGTTATTCCTGTGCATGCACAAGAGCCCAAAGCCGAGCTGTCTGGATATATACATGTATATGCATGTGTGTGTGTGTGTGTGTGTATGCTCACATATACATACACTGTGGCATGGCATGTCCTTGTGCACAGCAGTTTTTATTTTCACTTTTTTTTTGTTTGCGCCACGTTTCAAGACTTAACACGCCCGTGGGCCTCCGCCTCCTGCTACTATTTCTCCTGCTTCTCTTTCGACAGTTCTTGTTTTTGGTCTAACGCAGCTATTGAAATGAAAAGTTTTGTACGTCCGGAAAATGTATTTCTGGGCTGCTGCTGCTGCTGTTGCTGCTGTTGATGAGTTTCCTTTATCGCATTGAGGCCAGCGTCAAGCGAATCGTGAGGGGCGCATAATAAAACCGCATTTCAATGCTTAGACAAAAGATCGCAAATGGCTTCGTTTCTACATAACCCACATAAAAGCTGACTATCTATATATCTACCCATAGATGTGTGTTAAGTATATGCAAATGTGTCTCTGTGTATGTGTCTGTGTGTGTGTGTCTCAATTATTACACTGCAACTGTCTCTATCTTACTTTTACAACACATTTTACATTTATTTTTTATGATATGTCACAAATCTTTTGGTTGTTGAAGATTTTGTCATCTTTTTCTCTGTCACGAACTTAAAAAAAATTGTGAATTGGTTTCGTTTGCGGTTCGATTATATAACAGAAATCTCTTTAATTGTAACAACAGTTGCTCGAAAAGCAAGCGTGAGAGAGAGGGAGAGAGAGAGAGAGAAGAGAGGTGTAGAGAAATTCACAATAGCTGTTCAATTTGTTATTTTTCTTTCACTGTTTGTTACTTGATTAAGGTCAATGTTAATGCCAGCCCAAGCAACAATTGACAGCTACTTTAACATGCATGTTAGAGCAGATTAGAGAAGACTGTTAGGTATTGAAAAGGTATAATGGAAATATAACTTAAATATAAACTGGGAATTCGAAATTTAGAAGATAGTTCACTGATAGTTTAACATTAACTCTAATTTAAGGTAAGCATAACTTGGAAGATTTACAGTTTACTATAGTTTAACATTTACTTAACATGTATTTATAAATTTAAATAAATATTATCGCACTAGATCTCTCTGGGCGAAGAGTTAACCATTGTAGACAGATTAAACTGTATCAACTAATGATGAGGTATGATGAAGAATCATCAGAGTGACAGAGGTATATATGATACGGCCTTAACAACTCATTTCATCTTATTAATGAGGAATATAAATATATGGCCTCTGGGCATGACCTACCTCTGCTTAAGATTTACATGCACGCATTTGCCCAGAGCAAAAGTTTAGCCCCTTTAACCAGTTTTAATATATTCACATTTCAATGTTTATACAAAATTCTAGCAGAGAAAAAAAAATATAAAAACAATTTATCACAAGTATTTATGATCACCACACAAGTTACAATGAAACTCAAGCAATTTAGCTTAATTTTCAAATAAATTCAACTAGATAATGTCAGACACACACACACACATACACAAACAACAGAAAACTCTCTATGCAGCGGCGCACATAAATTTATATTTAAAACAAAAACAAAAGCATGCAAAATAACAAATAAATATATAAAAACTTTAAGCCGAGTTCCGCAATTTTCGATTCGGAAGCGCAATTAAAGTTGAATTTAAAACGCTCATAAAATGCATAAATAAAATAAATATGTCGCTAAAACACAAAATGTGCGAGAGAGAGAGAGAGAGAGAGGGCAAGAAGAAGAGTGAGAAAAATTGGTGCATAAATTACAAAACATTTGCAATTCGCAATAGCACACACAGAAATTGGTAAATAATTGAAAAGCAGGATAATTTCAACAATTTGTGCACGTTTTTCGATTAAAATAAAAAATAATTGCATAATAATTTAATTACAAGCGCAAACAGCTAGAAATTCGCCTGACAAAATATAAACAACAACGAAAAATGTATTTATAAATAGAACGAAAAACACGTTCGGAAATTAAAATGTTGATAAAGTTGTTAAAATGGAAAAGTGCGAGAGTGTGTGTGAGTGCGAAATGGAATGTGTGTGTGTGTGGTTGTGTGAACTCTATGTAAAGGGTGAATGTGAGAAGAGTGTATAGTGTGAGATTAATGTAATTGGAGAATGTGTGGTGTGAAGAATATGTTTTGTTGGAGAGTAAGTGGGTATAGTGAGAGGAGAGTGTGAGAACCGAGCGTATAAAGAATATGTGTGGAGTATGAATGACGTAACTTATCTTAGGTAGGCGTGGAGAGTTCGTGTGTGTAGTCTTTGTTAAGGATATATGTGGAGAGTGCAAGAAGAGAGTTTATGTGTAGAATATAAATAGAGTGTGGCAAGTGGGTGTGTGCAGACTATGTTTAGAGAGTGTGTCTGAGGAAAAATTATGTTGAGGTAGAGATTGTGTTTGTGGAGATTTTGGATAGTGTGAGTGAAGACTTTTAGTGTGAGTATAAATGGAGATTATGAAAAGGATGTATGTGGAGATTGTGGATGCCGTGAGTTTTAGTGGAGACTGGTATGGAGTGAGAATATAAGTGGAGATTATGAGAAGAGTATATGTGGAGAGTGTGAATGGAGACTTTGAGTAGACGGGGAATGGAGATCATGAGAAGAGATTATGCCAAATACAATATACATATACATATGTATGTATGTACGTAGCCTTTCTGCCAGTAGAATATGTATATGAAAAGTCTATGACTCAACCCTGTAGACTGGGTAAGGAGAGCATGACTGTGTGAGTATGTGTGTGTGACTGTGTGACTGTGCCAACACCCACGCACGTGCCTTCTGATTGAAAGGTTTTATGTTTTACTATTATTATATCTGTAGCCTCGCATCTAGCAGTTTCCTTAATAAAAACCACAATTTTATGACAATCTGTTTACTTTGAATGCATTTACATATTTCGCTAACGACAATTTCCTTTTCTGTTGATTGTAATTGCAGTTGGTACTTCCGCAAAATCAAACGCATTGAGGCTGAGAAAAAACTGCTACTGCCAGAGAACGAGCACGGCGCGTTTTTAATACGCGATTCCGAAAGCCGTCACAATGACTATTCGCTATCAGGTGGGTGCTATAAATGGCATGCCAAATGTCAATCTGTTCAATGAATAATAAATATGAAATGCAAGTTTATATCTGAATCGTATCTAATATTGTATTGTATATTTTTGCAGTGCGCGATGGCGATACGGTTAAGCATTACCGCATCAGACAATTGGATGAGGGCGGCTTCTTCATTGCCAGACGCACAACATTCAGGTAAATATACAATTTAACATTTACATAACATTGTGCTAATATACTCCTCTCGTTATCAATAACAGAACCCTACAAGAGCTGGTCGAGCACTATTCCAAGGATTCGGATGGCCTGTGCGTCAACCTCTGCAAGCCCTGTGTACAGGTAGGCCCCATTAACTATATAATACTCTACTAATTCATGGTATTCAATTATTGTTTTTGGCATTTAACATGCACTTAACATGCCATTTAACATTTAACGTATTCTTGTCGCGCATTTAACATGGCATTTCTCAATATTTAACATTTGACATTTAACATTTTCTCATTATGATTTCTGTCATTATTTACGTATACTTAACCAGATGAAAAAAAAAGATTTTAAAATGATTTTATATATTTGTTTTTTGTATTCCTTTAAAAATACTAACGAAAATTATTTATATATATACTAACAAACAAATAAAAGACAAATTCATTTTCGGGTATTTTTGAGGTAGGATTTTGTAACTCTAAACATTAACGTTAATGTGTGTGTGTGTGTGCCAGCATCATGCAAAAAAAATCCATAAACAAATAATACTAAATAAACAACCCATTCATTTCATTTAATTCATAAATTTAGTCAAAGTACAAAGTGCAATTAAGCGTTGAAAAGCGCAAATAAAAATCTCCAAAAATATAAATTATATTAAAATTTATGCGTCATTTTGGCATTTAGTCAGAACGTAGATAAAGATCAAAATATTTTGTATATTAACGAGAATATTATATAAATATTGTATATATTGTATACTACCTATGATAAAGTAAGGAATATGCTATATAATCTATTTTTTTATTCAATTGCCAGTTGATAGTTGTAAATCTAGTCTTCTGCTTAAGAATCAGACTCGAAGACTATATAGACTAGCCTGTGCCTTTTCTACCTTATGATTGCTTCAGGTATAAGTTCAATTTAAAGCCTATTTATAAAATCATATTTATATAAAGTATATACTATCTTTGCTATATTTTCATACTTTATCAAAAGCCAGTTGAAAGTTATAATCGCTGTAAAAATGCCTTTAAGCATAGCCTTGAAATTATTTCTAGCAAATTCCACTCATAAATATCGTTTAATATACATATATATAACTAGTTATATACTATGCTTTATATTATAAGCTTTACTTTTTAATTAAGTATTGCTACATGTAGTGTATATATATAGTATTTGGTGCAACTGCCAAATCGCGTGTCCAACTTATGCAAACATGAAACAGAAAAAGAAAAACTTGAAAAAAAAAACGTTGCGAAGGGCATGCAAAACATTTCAACTAATGCACTTTCAAATTTGCAATGTTCCAAGATGACTAAGCAACTGGCTTGAGCTCAGAAAAAAAACCGAACACCAAATAAATGGTAAAGTTCGCTTAAAACAATAGTAAATTTCATTAACTAGCCGCAGTTTAGTTGCACTTTGACTTTGACCCAAAAGGCCAGACTAACTAAAAGCCCAAAAAGCCAACCACAACAAAAATAAACAAATTACTTACAACGTTAGCCAACGCCGCTCTACTTCTAGTCTAGCAACAATTTGTACATAATGCCTAAGTGTATGCCATCAGCTCTCTCTCCAATTGGCACCTTCATACGAAACGAGCCTAAAAGCACACACCATATTACCAATTGAATTGCTTTTACCGTTTTGCTAAATAACATTCACTAATTTGTTGTTGTTTTTGCCACACAGATTGAGAAACCTGTCACCGAGGGTCTATCGCATCGAACTCGCGATCAGTGGGAAATCGATAGAACTTCGTTGAAATTCGTACGCAAATTGGGCTCCGGACAGTTTGGCGATGTCTGGGAGGGTCTGTGGAACAATACCACGCCCGTGGCCATCAAAACTCTAAAGTCGGGTAAGTTGAAATGCAAGATGAAGAGGAAGACTAGAGAACTCTTACTTATTTGACATATAAACTAACTAATCCCTTGCTTATCCCATTCACCAGGCACCATGGACCCCAAGGACTTTTTGGCTGAGGCACAAATAATGAAGAAGCTGCGCCACACCAAGCTCATTCAGCTATATGCAGTCTGCACCGTCGAGGAGCCCATCTACATTATAACAGAGCTGATGAAGCACGGCTCCCTGTTGGAGTATCTGCAAGGTAAGCCAAACGAGATGCTAATGCTAATCAAGTCGATAAAGCATAACACATTACGCATACATTAACTTGGCTAATCTCTTTCATGGTTCATGGTTCATGGTTCGCTCATTGGTTCAACTTCATTATCGTGTCATTATCAATATCTGATGAATGTGTTTTTAATATCTTTTAGCAATTGCAGGCAAATGTCGTAGTATCAAAATGCAAACGCTCATCGATATGGCTGCCCAAATAGCCGCTGGCATGGCATATTTGGAATCACAAAACTATATACACAGAGATTTGGCAGCGCGTAATGTGCTCGTCGGCGATGGCAACATCGTAAAGATAGCCGATTTTGGTCTGGCACGGTAAGTGAAAGCTATATGCATATATGACAGTTTACCAATATTCTCTAATATATAATGTTCTTTTTCCATGTGCCATATGCAGACTCATCAAGGAGGATGAATACGAGGCACGCGTCGGTGCACGCTTCCCCATCAAATGGACAGCACCAGAGGCGGCCAATTACAGTAAATTCTCCATTAAGTCGGATGTGTGGAGCTTTGGCATTTTACTCACCGAGCTGGTCACCTACGGACGTATACCCTATCCAGGTGCGTTTACTTATCTTTGTATATCCCCCCCAGACAATTCTAAATCTCTATAACTTTCAACAGGTATGACCAACGCTGAAGTATTAACCCAGGTTGAGCATGGCTACCGCATGCCCATGCCACCGAATTGTGAGCAGCGTCTGTATGAGATAATGTTGGAGTGCTGGCACAAGGATCCGATGCGTAGACCCACATTCGAAACGCTGCAGTGGAAGCTCGAGGATTTCTATACATCCGATCAGAGTGATTATAAGGAGGCGCAGGCTTACTGATAAATGCTTTATGCGCCCGCTGGCAAACGCGGCGGCTGCAACAGGGTAACGCCCGGACCAGCAGCAGTCGGCCAAGCGGACCAGAGCAACAACAGCAGCAGCAACATCAACAGCAACAATAAGACCGAAGCATAAAGCTAACCAACACGGACAATTCTTATTTAGTTACTTATTTCAATGTTTGCACAGATTTTCTAAAGCATTAAAAAAGAAAAGAAAAGAAAATATAAGCAAAGCAAGTGTAATCCCATGCTCTCAACATGGAGCTGAGTGTACGTCTAGGTATCAATATACATGTTATTAGCATTTAAGGCAGGCAAATTTTAGTATTTAGGATGCATTGCGGTGTGCTAAGTTAAAGAATATATATATATATACATATATTCATATATATATATTTACGTATGTGTGAAAGATAAAAATTTGTATTTTTGATTACAAAACAGTTTTCTTTGTTTGCACTTAATGCATGAATCATATACATATGCATATATATATAGATTGAAACACATGTTTATATCGATCTGATTTCTATTAATTTGTTTTGCAATCAGGCGCTATTATTGAACGCTGTATCATAATATATGTATACATCAATATAAATATACACATACGAAACGCATAAAGTCACAGTTTATATATAGGATCTTCGTATATTTATATATATACACATGTATATGCATATTTTCTCTTTTTAGTTATATAGCCATTATATAAACGATATTTAAATACTTATATATTTATGCTTTTAGTTAAACACAAATAAAAAACAAACATTACGTGTCTTACCTTATATATTCACACACTCAACATTATCAACGACATATATATGCTTTATCTTTATCGTATTATCGTAAACAAAACAAAAACATATACATAAACAAGTGCTAGAAGAAAAAAAATATACGCAAAACATAATGCAATAAAGTAAACTCCATATTATTAATGTTATACATTTTAATTGTAATTTTTAACCATTAAATTATGTATTTAAAATTATACAAACACACACACATACATACACAAATCCATGTACATTTAGTGAACAAAAACATCAAAATAAAATTTATTATCGTAATTTATAAAAAAAAAAAAGCAACAAAACTTTCATATATGACAGAAATGTTCAAAGCTAGCTAAAATTTATTTTCAGTGTATTTATTTATGCTTTTTATTATTTTTTTTTTGGTGAGTATTATTTGAAGCGTAAGTGCCCCCTGAACATAAAGTACTTTGTATAGAAGAGCTTGGGACAAAAAAAGACCTGAGCAGAGTGATTAGCTCGTAATGTCCCCTTGTAAAGATCGCCTAAGTTTATTAAGATTCCTTCAAGAAACTAAAAGATACTCCGAATTACTAGCTGGAATATCGTTTCTATTTTCAGGGTATTTTCTAAAGGACTCTTATTAAGTATGCGATCTACATGTTTCTATTTTTCATTTGCTTCTTTGAATTTAGTTTTGAAAAGAAGTGCAATAAATAGAGCAATTTTACTTATTTCAAAAACTCTAATCTACGTACATCTAAACCTAGAAAGCATGAATTGAAGGCTGATTTTATAAAGCTAACCGTAGTACTTACATATGTGTTCTTATCTAGTAATATATGTTCAACTGATTTACCAATGCACAAAACATATGTTTTTAAAACACACACACACACACACACACACACACGTTTCAAAGCAGCTGTAATCAAAAGAAAATAAATATGGAAGAATATGAACAACTGGAAGTTCGTCAACAAAATTATCTTTTATTGATTTATAGAAATTTCTCTGTGCTGGAATAATTTGCATTTGTAATTACTAATAACTCATGTCGAATAAACTAAAATTGAGGGCGTGTCAAATATATACATATAAATTTGTATGGAAAACATATGTATAACGATTGCAATAAAAATAATTTCTATAAAAAATGATATACCTATAAATATGTAAAACCCTTTATAGCTCTATGAAAATGTATAAAAATTTCAAATATACTTGCAAATTTAATGAATAATAAAGATTGCATAAATCTTGATTTGTCGTATAACATAATTAGTTTTTCTTAATAAAATAAAACAAAATAATAATAATAATAAGAAAGCCTAATATATTTTGATCAAGAATATGACTTAGATTTTCATTAGATATAAATATATAAATATTTTTTATTTGATTAGCAGTAAAGTTTAGTTAATTTAACAAATACATATATGTTATTTTTTTTGCTATTTATAATTTGTAAATTTATTAGTTTATAATGTATATAATTCATTTTAGCCGAAGCCATAAGTGAAGTCTCGTTTTAAGTTGAAAGTACATATATAAAGATATTCCGGGTTTAGGCCTAATCGGTTCACAACCTTGATCAATACAGTCATATATGTACGTATGCATATCTAAATGTGTGTCTCTAAAAAGTCAAACGCTTTTGATCAATCCACATATGGGTGCGATTGTTTACTACCAAAAAAAAAAAAGTTGATTGAATTTTTGGTCAATGCGAGTTTGTGAACCAAAACAAAAAACGCATTCAAAGCCCTGCCTAAAATGTCGTCTACTCTGTGCTCCTCGCCCCACCGCACTCGGCCACACCTGCTAATGGAGGCTGCTGAATGTCTCCCGCCCCCTCTGACACCCTGGCTTCTCTGTGATTTCATTCTGTTGCTATAACCTCTCACTCTCACTCTCGCCCCTCTGTTGCTGCATTGGCATTGTTTGTGTGGGTGTGTGTATGATTTAGTTCATTTACCCACCTTCCACACTTCCCCTCGGCACTTGCTGCCCTGGCATTGTGCCTTTAGTCTTTTACTATACATTTGTGTCCCTCTCTCTCTCTCGCTGCTCTTCTCCTGACAGGTATTTGTCGTCTGCTACTGTGGCCGCCTCTCGCACTCTCTTTACCCCGTCTGCAGCCCTGGCATCGAGTAGCCGTAAGTGGTCAAGCAGCCAAACACACAAATACACTCGCACTCAATGCGAATTGATGACGATTCCGCTGCTGATGCCGATTTCCAATGTTTGCTCGCTGAGTCAGTCAATTGTTTTGTTGCTGTTGATTAATTCGGGCATAACTATTGCCAGTGAAAAGCACATGAGACATGCACTAATGTACACATAGATTGCGATAGACTCTGTTTTGTTGCCTTATAAGGTAAACGACGCGGTGCTGCTACAGCTGTTTTGCTGTGTAATCAATCGGCGCGAGACACGGGCATTTCTTGGCTTGGTCCGTCATGCTGATAAGCCGCGGCGATTCATGGCCCGCATTTGCCACAACAGCTAAAATCATAAGAAATACTTAGCTAAATATAAATATATAGAAATTTTCATATATATAACTTTGCTTATCAAACACTTCCTGCGAAAAAATGAGCTGAGCCTTTGTTTTCTTTAGACAGAATTCAAACATTTTCGGGGACGCATTAGTAAGCAGTGGCTTATCGAGTGAGCTGACAAATCTCCATATCCATAAGATTCTGAGTCATAGCAGCTTGTTCATCAAGGGAAAGGGAAAAAACAGCCAGCTATACATTTAAATATTATCAATAATAAGTCGGTTTCAACCATATTCAGTTCTTCATCGCTTTTTATTATTTTTTTGTTTTTTTCGTAGCGGTTACAAATACTTTAGTTTTGATTTAATGTTTGTTTTTGTCTTTTTTTGGTTAAGTGTAATTCATAATATAATAATATATGTAAAGAATGCTTGGATAATGTATAATGCCGAATATGAATATATATATTATATAATATTTTTTTTATAATAATACCAATATGCGCATGAACTCGTGAATTTCGATCCAACACAAAAATATATGCTAAATACTTATGTGTAAAAGGAGTGTATGTGGGTGTAGATGTGTGTCTGTGTGAATGTGTAGGTGTGTGTATCTATGTAGTACATGACTTCGTATAAAATTGTTATAGATATATAAAAAAAATTGTTGGTAGTTTATCTTTGTTGCTGTCTCTGCTGCTGTTGCTGGACAATGTGCCTGCCTGTGTTAAATATCTTTAGCTCCGCATCTTCTTCTTCTTCACTTTTCTTTGTTTTATCTATCCTAAGTACGAAATGAATAGGAAAATATTTTATATATATATCTTTGTTTGGAGTGTATGCGTGAGACGCTGGCACAGACAGGACCACGCCCAGAGACAGCCGCAGTTAATGTGCATGTTTTTGGTGTTGTTGTTTTTGCTGTTTCTGTCACTTAGAAGCATTTGCGGTGCACAATGGATGGGCCAGACTCATCGTACTCCTGCTTGGAAATCCACATCTGTTGGAATGTGGACAGCGAGGCCAGAATGGAGCCACCAATCCAGACGGAATATTTACGCTCCGGTGGTGCCACAATCTTAATCTTCATGGTGGATGGGGCCAGAGCTGTAATCTCCTTTTGCATACGATCAGCGATGCCAGGATACATGGTGGTACCGCCGGACAACACAGTGTTGGCATACAGATCCTTACGAATATCGACATCGCACTTCATGATCGAGTTGTAGGTGGTCTCATGAATGCCGCACGCCTCCATGCCCAGGAATGAGGGCTGGAACAAAGATTCGGGGCAACGGAAACGCTCATTGCCAATTGTGATGACCTGTCCGTCAGGCAGTTCATAGGATTTCTCCAGCGAGGAGCTGGAGGCAGCTGTTGCCATCTCTTGCTCGAAGTCCAGAGCAACATAGCAAAGCTTTTCCTTGATATCGCGCACAATTTCACGCTCGGCAGTGGTGGTGAAGGAATAGCCACGCTCGGTCAGGATCTTCATGAGATAGTCGGTCAAATCGCGACCAGCCAAGTCCAGACGAAGAATGGCATGTGGCAGTGCATAACCCTCATAGATGGGCACGGTGTGGGTGACACCATCACCAGAATCCAAGACGATGCCAGTGGTACGACCAGAGGCGTATAGGGACAATACAGCTTGGATGGCCACATACATGGCCGGTGTATTGAATGTCTCGAACATGATTTGCGTCATCTTCTCGCGATTGGCCTTGGGATTCAAGGGTGCCTCAGTTAGGAGCACTGGATGCTCCTCGGGTGCCACACGCAACTCATTGTAGAAGGTGTGATGCCAGATCTTTTCCATGTCATCCCAATTGGTCACAATACCGTGTTCAATGGGATATTTCAGGGTGAGAATACCACGCTTCGACTGTGCCTCATCACCCACATACGAGTCCTTCTGGCCCATACCAACCATAACGCCCTGGTGGCGGGGACGTCCGACGATTGATGGGAAAACGGCGCGTGGTGCGTCATCACCGGCAAAGCCGGCCTTGCACATGCCGGAACCGTTATCGACAACCAAAGCGGCAACCTCTTCGTCACACATTTTTGCTATATGGATTGTGGTTTAACTTGCTATAATTGAATATGAAAAAAAATAGACTATTCAAATGAATTTGTATGTACACACTACTCCGAACTGAAAGCCGCTCGAGAGTTTGAGCCTGAGACAGAGAGTCAAAGGCACATGAGCTGAACAAAGGAAGACTGAATTTTATTACCTTTTAAGGAAATATAAGAGACGAATGAAGTTTTTTGTTTTCAGTTACTCTGAATTAACCGCTGCGCAAACTTTGCACAATGACTGACGCTTCACAATTGAAACGACGCCTACTTTTTCAAAAGTGGTTGAATTTCGCCGAGCCGCTGGCGTTGCCACTCTTACAAAAACGTATCTAATAATACCAAAACAGAAAATGGCTAAAAAATACTCCGCCTATCGATAGGCAAATATTGCCATTTGTCAACAGCTGCTTAAGCCGCTAAGCCTTTGTTCCTTTCTCTTTTGTTGTGTTTCAAGTGCAATAAATACGCAATTTAATCAATTAATTTAGGCATTAAGCTATTCTATTCGATAAGTATATATTATGATAAACATCGCTCATCTCTAATCTAGCAGCTAGACAATCACCCACCCACCCAACGACACCCACGATAGCGGCTTTGTGACTTATTTTGATAGCGCCGCGCATTTTAACAACATGGTTGACATTAATTTGGAGTGCGTGCAATTGATCGAGCCCCAGCCGACAAAATCGACGGAAAAACAACAAGAGCAATATTTAGAGGCAGCGCGAATATTGCTCGTGCTGCTCGAGAATGTGCTAAGTCAGCCGAATAACCTGAAGTATCGCACCATTCGTGTGGAGAACAAGGCGATCAAGGAAAAGCTGCTCTCGCTGGAGGGCATTGAGCAATTGCTGAACGCAATTGGTTTCAAACGCTTGCCAAGCTCCAATGAATACACATTGCCTACTGAGGTACCCTTACAGCAAATACAAAAGTACAGAGACGTGCTAAGAAAAAGGCGAGAGGCGTGGCTGAATGGTGCAAACCGTAAGTAGCTGTAATATAGCCAAGTTAACTGTTAACTGTTAATGGAAAAAGAATTTATTTGCTTTAGGGTCAGTCCAGGCGACGACTGCAAGAGAAATGCCAGCTACGTGTGCTACGCCTTTGTTTATACAACCTTCAGTGCCCTATAAACAACGTATTACCTTTCCGCGCATGCTAGTGAGTGGAAATATAACTATATAATTGAATAGAATAAATGGAATTTCTATTTGCAGCGCACTCCTAATCGGTTCCTGCAGTCTTTGGAGCTCTACAGCGATGCCGTTATGCAGTATGAGGACGAGGCGTTGCTGGCCAGCGGACGAAGTCTGATACCCATTGATGAGCTAACAATGAATGCCAGCAGCAAATTAATTGAAATGCAGGAACTAATTGCGGCTGGAAAATGTAAAGAGAAGGAACCCTGCATACGCGATCTGCTGCTCGTTGAGCTAGTCAATTGGTTCAATACGGAGTTCTTCGAGTGGGTCAACAACATACCATGCCAAGTGTGCGGCAGTGAGGATGGCAAACTACGTCGCACCCAAACCGAGGGCGATGTACGGGTCGAAGTCACAGTTTGTTGTGGCCAAGAGACCAAGTTCTATCGCTACAATGACATCTCCCAGTTATTGGTGTCGCGCAAGGGGCGCTGTGGCGAGTTTGCCAATTGCTTTACATTCCTGTGCAGATGTCTGGACTACGATGCCCGCTTAGTTCATTCCCATTTCGATCATGTGTGGACCGAAGTGTTTTCTGAGAAGCAAATGCGCTGGCTGCATGTGGATCCCTCCGACAATGTGGTCGATTCGCCACTTATGTATCAGCACGGCTGGAAGCGCAATATTGACTACATCTTTGGATATTCGCGCGACGATGCACAGGATGTCACTTGGCGATACACGAACAATCATCAGCAAATATTAAAGCAACGCAAGCTGTGCTCGGAGAAGGAGCTCATCGCAACACTGAATGTGATTAGGGCCAAACGGCAGCAGTTCGTGAGCGAAGAACGCAAAAAATTCCTCAGTCAACGTAACATGTGCGAGGTCATTGAAATGACCGTGGAACGGTATGTATTAGAAAAATATTTATTGATTGTTTTTGTTGTTTTGTATTGTTTTGTCTATTCGTTCACTTGGTGAAATGGAGTATATTGGTTTTTTTCAATGTCTCGCTTTGAATTGCAGGTTATTTTTTAAGCAATTCAAGCTCTGCAGATATATATTCTTGTAGAATGTGCAAAAGCTATATGACCTATATCAACATTTGTAATTTTGTAAATCTAACGAGCATTATGCAGTCGGTAGCTCTCGACTGCAGCAGTGCAACTTGTTATTGTTGTAATTAAAACTGATCTCTACATTTATTCATATAAACTGCGCAGCACTCCTACCGAGAGCGAGCTCAAAGGCAGAAGTTCGGGCAGCTTGTCGTGGCGCCAGTCGCGTGGGGAGCACACATTCACAGATGTGAGTCATTTGAGCTGATCATTAATTGCCTTTGTCCTCTATATAAGAAGCACACACACGATCTCTCATGCATTATTCTATTGCAGATTTTTGTATTTACGCCAAATGACAGCGAGCGGGAACTGCGACAATTCAATTTGCGCTACAATTGCGCCAGCGATACGTACGAAAGATATACGATAGGTTTGATAGAGCGCTTCCATAGAAGAAATCTTATCAATTATGCTCATGACCGATTACTTTCCTTAATTTCTAGATGGCGAACATTTTAATATACTCGAAACCTACAAGACTTGGCAAAGTGCGCAATTCTCATCGAAGAACATTTTTCGCAAGGTCGAGAGAGATTGGAAAATGGCCTACTTGGCCAGGCTAGGTAAGCTCTGTAATAAAATTTCATTACAATCTATTAATTTATATGATTGCTTGCAGAGGACACGGACAGCGCTGAAATCATTTGGAAATTCAATTTGAGCAAGTCTAATCTTCGAGTAAAATCCTATAAACTCACATTCGAAACGAAGACCTTTGGAGACGGCAAAATCGATGTGAGCGTGGAGACGAACGATGGCAATAGATGCATTGAGAACGCCACGGAATTTCAAATTGTTGCCAAGCTAAGCGGCGGCAAAGGGGACGTGGCTTGGCAGCATACTCAGCTGTTTAGACAAAGCCTTAACTCCAGGGAATATCCTTTCGATTTACAAGTTGTATTGCATTAGCAAAATGCTAAAATTCCAAAATCAAGTGTAAATAAAAAACAAAAAAGCAAATATATTGTCGCAACTTATGCCAGCATGTTTTTGGTTCTATCTTCTCTATAAGCGGGATATACTTTTGGGCATGACCTCTTTTTTTTTATTTATTTGTTGAAGCCATACGGGGTTTTTCAATAACCCCTTTGTGAGCATATTATCTGTTCATTCATTAGGGCGCGCCGGCAACTTACGTTGCTGTCGTAATTT